TGCTGGCAAGAAGAACGGCAGGACATCATGTCATGATGGTTGCTTCGGCATACCGCCGTGTGTGCAGTCTTGGGCCACTGACCGTGGCTGCTCGTTCATGCCCAGGGAAAAGAACGGTCTCCTTCCTTGTTCAGCTGGAAACCTAAAGCGTTCCACCCAGGAATTTGGAGATCTTCTTGATTCCTTTGCCCTGCGTATTTCACATTGGGAGCGGAGCTGCCCAAGAGCAGCTCTGACCTGACTTGCCGCCACGGGCCAATTGCCGCTGGTTTTGGAGAGACACCAAGCGCGTCTAAGGACGAACGGAGCTGCATCCCGCGCCTCAAGAACACGATGACTGGCTCCAAAGAATGACGCAAGCAGGTTGCGCTGATTGCGAGACGCCAAGCGACGTGAGACACGCCTTGCCCGAAGGCAAAGGCAGGGGCCAATGCGAGGACCTGGACCCCGGCCTTTTGGAAAAGGAAGGTGGCCTGAAACACATCCTGGCCCGGCTGGATTCCCAATGGCTGTATGACGGTCGAGTCTAAGAGCCTGACGCCTTCGAAAAGTATTTCTACAAGACGCAGAAGAAGGGGCTAATCTGTTTAGACCTTTGCCCGGAACACAAACATGTGCTCCCTACCAGACCAAGTCGTTGCTGGCTGGTTTCTGCTCTGCAAGAATGGATTGTGGCCAACAACAAATGATTTATCCATCCTTGAGCAACATCGAAGAATCCATGTACATGATCCTTCGCCATGACTAAACATGTTCATCAACCTCTGCTACACTGCTCTCTGCCTACCCACCAGGACTCCCTTCCCATTAGTCCCCCTTGAACTGTGCACACCTGGAGGCTGGCCAGTGCAAAAACAGTTTTCAATCAACCCCAACTCAGATCGTTTGCGGGTAAACAAGGCCTAGGATAAAAAATAACATTGGGAACAGGAAGAATGGAATGTAACTTCGAACCCGATGACGAAATCATCAATGAGGCTGAAGTTTGGTATGCACCATTGTGAGCCGGAATACGAAAAGAGGACAATGAGGACTTCACGTACCTCTACCATACGGATGGGGACATTGTCTACGACACCGATGCGCATGACAACAGAGGGTGCTTGAACTCAAGCGCTCCGGAGGATTTTGCCCAGTGGTTGCCATAATTGATCGCCAAAAACCAGCTGTCCGTCAAGACAATCGTCAACAACCAGTCTGCCAAGACAAAATCCCAGCAGGCAAAGGTCCAATGGGAAAAGCCCGTGCTCGAGATGCTATGGTGTGTCGTCGATGTGGTAAACCTGGGCATTTTGCATCGCAGTTCATGGTATCGCTTCCACGCCAACATGTATGTGGAGAGAAACTCATCGAGGCCGCTGGGGGCTTGGAATGCCCATACTGCGCAGAAAAGGGTCGACCCTCAGTCTCACCAGTTTTGGGCGAAACTTCCTCAAGACGCCTGCAAGATGCTTGGCTTGGAGAGTGGAGCGTTGATGAAGTTGAAGAAACCTCTTTATGGGCAAGCGGATGCTCCTCGTGAATGGTACAAAGTGGCAACCAGAAAGCTTCAACAACTTGCCTTCACACCTCATCCTTTGGAGTGCTGCTTGTTTTGCCTGTTTGACGACAGGGGTCGCCTTGTTTGCTTAATTGGCCTACATGTTGATGACATGTTGTGAGCCGGCGGTCCAAGTTCTGCCACTTACCTCAAGGTGAAACAAACTCTTCGCAAAACCGTTGACTTCAAACACTGGAGTGAAAACAGGAAGGAAAACAACTGGAGTTTATGTGGCTGCAAGTTGAAGAAGATTGGTGATCAAACATGGCAGCTGCACCAAGAGGACTTCATTCTGGAGTCAAACCGCTCACGACTTACCCATTATAACTATAACCAAAAGAGGTGTCAGTGCTCCGTGGCTTGTTGGGAGCACTGCAGTGGCCATCAACACAACTGATGCCACACCTGAGTGCCCCGATTTCCCTCCTATATGAAAAGTTGCGAATGGTGCAATTGAGTCCATCGCAAAAGCAGCGAACAAAGCACTGAGGTTCGCTAAGAACAACAAGGATGCCTCCCTGCAGTTCCCCCGTCTTGGTGCCTGGATGAACTTTGTTTGACGGCAGTTAGCGATGCAGCTTGGGGAGTCCGTCCAGGCCACTTGAGCCAAGGGAGGGTATTTCATATAGCTTTCCCACAAAGGAGGTACTCCAATGAGTCCATGGCAGCACTGCAGGCTTGAGCTTCAGAGTTCAAACTGTTTCTGCTAATTCGGATCGAAAATGACATACTTGAAATCACCACTCTTGTGCAGAACTTCAACTGTTTTGCAAAGGGTGTGTCCACAGCTCGTTCACGACCTCCAATGTGGATGAGAAAACTGGTCGACTTCCATGTTCCCTGTTGTGGTTGACGGCAAAGCCTTCTACGACTGCCTCAAAAGCGAAGCACTTCAGCTGACTGGTGACAAGAGATCCCTGGCCCTCGTGATCAAGGAGAAGATGACCACGACAGGATGCTTCCTGGTCCAGTGAGTTTCAGCTGGCAGATGGGCTCACTAAGGTGGCTTCTCGGCAGCTGCTGGCTGATCGTTTTCGAACACACCCGTTCACACTCCAGTCGGGCCAGGGCTTCAGCAGCAAAGAAGAAAAATCCAAAAGAACGTCATGACAATGCAAGATGCAATGCCCTGACTAAAGCAGAAACCCGACGTGGACTGGTCATGATGATCATCATGGGATCATCTACCGTTGCAAAAGTTGAGACTGAGGAGAACTATGGTGGCTTCGCCTTCCTGCTCCTCACTGCCTTCGCAATCTTTGGAGCTTCACAAGTGTTCCTGAACTTTGTCAAGGCTTTTGTGAATGCCATGTACAAGGTGAAGACCGATGAGAACACCCAGAACACCAAGGTCGAAAGTGCTGCTCAAACGACTGAGCAATTCATGAAGCTGGTTCCAACTCGTCTTCTAGAACTAAACGCAATGCTGAAGAGTGTTGCAAAAGATCACAAAGATAGAAAACTTGCTGAATCACCGCATCAATTACCTTGAAGCGGACCTTCGTCGACAAGATGAAGGGTTGGAAGTTCGTGAAGGTGAACTGTGCCAGAAGGGATTCAAGAATCGCTCGTTTGGAGAAACAGCGTGCGAATCAAGCTCTCACGCAGATCGAGGGGCAACACCAGACGCTGCAAAGAGAGTACAGCAGAATCCAGAATTGCCGTGAAACACCGATCCCAAAAGTCATCGTGACCCTGCAGGGTTCAGACCCTCGATGTCCGGCACTACAGAATGCCAGCTCTGTAGCGCGTGTGACGTGTGACAATACTTGTAGTGGCACGTGTGGGGACCGTACGCCACATTGCATTTGTATCCTACTCTTCTTAGCTGGAGCAATTGCCGTCGCGGTGGGTAGCTCATGCCACGATTCCCCACACAAGAAAACTTTGCGCATAGATGCCCGTGCGCGCATACTGCGTGCATCGCACGGCTCATCGTCCTCCGCGCGCTTGCAACCACTACGTCGGGACATGGGCAACGTTCCCAGAGAGGCGCCCAGCAGTGGCTAACTTTCGTTCACCCCCCTTGGACTCCACAACGGTTGCTGACCAAGGCATGGCAACGGTCACTTCCACTTCGCCGCGTACGCGTACGCATGCCCCGGGCGCGGGGGCGCAACTCACGGCAAACACCACAGTTCTGCTTTCGCTCACTGCGGCCGCGCTGGCCGCCGCATGCCCAGGAGTGTGCTTACTCAGAACTTGTTTGGGGCAGTCGCTGTCAGCTCATTGTGGTCGGCCTGCAGGTTCCTGGCGGCTGGCGCTCACCTTCCTAGCCTCTCTGGGGCTAACAATGTCGGCGGCGATGCGCCGCTGCTCGATCTCGTTTTTCCCCAAACAGTTTACTGTTGGGGTTCTATCTTAAAGGAAAAAACTGGCCACACTCACTGGCCGCGCCCCTGAACTCTGTGGCTGGGCTCTGTGTCCAGGCCTTGTCCTCTTGTCCTCTGTGGCCCGGCTCTGTGTCCAGGCCTTGTCCTTTTTTTGTCCTTGTCTTGGCCGCGCCCCTGAACTCTGTGGCCGGGCTCTGTGTCCGGGTCTTGTCCTCCTTTTGTCCTTGTCTTGGTCCGCCCCTGAACTCTGTGGCTGGTCTCTTTGGCCCGGTTTACTGGAGAGGAGTGTGGCCGAACAAATGGCGATGTCAATGCCGACAAAAATTCATTGATGAAGCAGTTTGCTCTTGGGGTGACGGTAGGGCGTACCAAGACATCGATTTTTGACTAAAAGTGGTCTAAGCGAATCGTTCTCAATTGTGGGGTGGCGCCTCAAGCCGCGCTGACGGGGGCATGGCTGAGTCGGAAGCGTGTCGACCCGACAGGTGGCCAGAGTGCGCGCTCCGGCCTTCTCGCCCACGGAGCAAGCGTGGATCTGGATCACGCGGCCACGCGGGAAGCGCTCGACCCCGAAAGGCGAGTGGTCCCCCAACAGAGGCTCTTCCACGCCACTGTGACCAGGGTGCCCCCCCCGGCAGACCAGCGGCGGTTGGACCTCGGTGTGTACGGCGCCTCGCAAGGCGAGGCCCTTTGCTGTGATGTCACCCTCGTGTTCCCCCTGCAGGCCGACGGCCGCCCACACCCCGGCGCCGCTCGCAACGACCGGCACGTCCTCCACAACGCGTGGCGCCGGAGGTTTGGTACCCCCAGCTCACGCGCAGTGGGGGCGGAATGCCCCACCTACGTCCGGGCTGCGGCTTTGGCCCGCCTCCACGCTCCCAGGGCTTCCCTCCGCAGTGCGCACCGCCGCCCATGCAGACTGGCACCACCAATGGTGGGCGCTGTTAAGCTGCGCCCAGCTGCGGGCAGTGAAATTCATTTTACTAGGGCTGCCCTGGCAGGCCTTTTTAGGGGTGGGTGCCCCCAACCCCCCCCCAGCCGCCTCCGTCTCAACGGAGGAGAGGCCGGCGCCAAGGCAAAGTTCCCTTTGTACATAGTCACATAGTCTGATCTGCCGCCCTTGCAATTTCAGAGATGCAATTTCGATTCCTGACCCCGTTGACTGTTCAAGCCTAGTTCCAGCAAGCAGGCATGAACAAGGGGGACAGTTTGCGAATGAACTACACCGATTGAGAATGAACTACACCGATGATAGGCTACAAAGTTGTTGTGCAGAATCCAATTGGAGCCGCGCCTGTGCTTTACCACGGGATGGTGTGCAGATGTCTCTTGGACTGTTTGCAGACGAACTGATGTGTGTCCATGCGACCAACTATTTGAGTGCCCGTCTGAGCGCAGGAACTCCCTCACTGTGCTTTGGACCTCATCATGGACCAGTTGAACGCGCCACCAGCTCACATAAGTTGCCACCTTTTATTGCAGGTTTGAATTGTTTTTCTGCAGACACGAGGCCGGAGTTTTTCATTGTTAGACAGGCAAGCAGATCAGCAAACCCGGCTTGATTTTTGGTACTGGCAAGCGTTGCGGTGGTGGGATTCCACGGCAGGTGACGAAAAATTGCGTGCTATCGACTCAAAGCTGCCGTAGCTCTTCAGGGGCTGTGCAGTGCCCTCAGCCACTGTTTCATCAATGTTGGGGCATTGTTCTCCAGTGCCCTGGCAAAGATCGGGGGTGGTTTGACAAAATGCATGTAGAAGGTTCTGGAAGGACATGTTCGTGGTTCTGGAAGGTGGGACTTGAACGTTGCCTGCCATTGGCCTGTTGTGCATCCAAGCGCGTGATGCACCGATGTCAAACACATTCTGTTGACACCTGCAGTATTGTTTGGTAAACGCCCAGCTTTCAGTGATTGATGTGCAGGTTGTGTGGTTAACCAGTTTTGTAGAAGACGCAGGCATGTTGTCCGATGGGCATTGCCCGGAGATAGGTCAGATAGGTGAAGGGTGCCCGTGAAATGACGGGCAATTGCCCATCGCGTTGGTTGCCTTTGGCAGCTTGTATTCGGGCATACTTTGTGATGAATAACAACTTCATTCTTCAATTTGTGATGTGAAATGAGGCCGAGACCTCGCTGCTTTGTGGCGAGCTTACAGTCGCCAGAGGCCAGGCACTGTGCTGTGCAACGGATCGCTTTGGACACTGAAAACTGTGTGCGTGGTAAGTGCTTCAAATCTGCCATAAATTAGTGGGTTGCCACGTGAGGTTGTGGAGAGATTGAGGCAGATGCACCTACCAAGCTTGAAGGTGATTGTACGGAGTTCAGTTCATTGCACGAATTGTGTTTTGCAATCTGTGGTCATGAGTCATGTTATAGACTAGAGAAGAAAGAGAAATAGGAACAGGAAAATAGGAAGACAGAGTAGAACGAATTGGCAATGTCAAGAAGGGAGCAAGGAAGCAAGCAAGCAAGCAAGCAAGCAAGGAAGGAAGGAAGGAAGGAAAGACGGAAGCAAGGAAGGAAGGAAGGAAGGAAGGAAGGAAAGACGGAAGCAAGGAAGGAAGGAAGGAAGGAAGGAAGAAGGGAAGAAGGAGGAAGAAGGGAGGGGGGAGGAAGAAGGGATGAGGAAGGGAGGAAAGGAGGAAGTGACGAAGGGAGGACAGGGAAAAAGGAAGAAGAAACGCAGCATGCCTTAGGTCTTCTTCCGCTTGAGTTGATTTTTTGTGCCTTAGGTCTTGAAAGCTCCGATCCGCATGCTTGTCGAGACAGTGCACTTCTTGTGCTCGAAGGCTGCGCAGATGTTGCTACGAGTTCATGGTTACTAGTAGCGTCCTTGCTCCTAGTAGTATGGCCAGGAGCTACAAAATACTACAATTTTTCACTCATTATTTGGCTGGTCGTAACAAGACGCTACTAGGAACAAGCGCATCGCTACTAGTAACAAGTGCCTTACCAGTAGTAACAAGAAGCTACTAGGAGCAAGCGCGACACCAAACAACAAACAAATGGCGGGAACCATGTGCCCCGCCAGTGGCCCAACCCGAAAGAGACTCACACAACCACATGCATAGTTGCGCCAAGCAAAGCCACACCATATTGACCGGTGTATTTGTTTGCTTCGCTCGAGAACTCCTGTGAGTCTTTTTCCAACGGTTCCTCCAACCCAAGAGCGATGGCCTCCAACCTGGAAGCGCCATGTAAAAGAATGGACTAGCCAGTGTCTAGTGTAGCGCTTGGAGGTGGCCTTGTTAACTGCACAGTCGCACGGAAACTCGAACTACCAGAGGAAATTCTGACCAGCTGACTATGATAGCGAATGAACTGTCAAGCAGTCACAATGGCACAGAACCGGCTTTGTTGGACGCTGGCAGCATTTTCTGGGTTCATTTTGGTGTCAACTTGCCCCATGGAAATGTGTTCCATGCCAAGCTTGCGGCATGTTTGGCTCAACCTCAACCTGATTCTTATTGTTACTAGTAGTAAGGCACTTGTTTCTAGTAGCTTCTTGTTACTACTAGTAAAGCACCTGTTACTACTAGCGTGGCACTTGTTACTAGTAGCTTGTTCCATGCCCGTCAAAGTCGCAAATCTTGACCGACGAGCCCCGCATGAAGCCGGCAGCCCGCACCCACCATGCTTCATACAATCTGTCACTCTCTGGACTTGGGCATGCTCAAGGGTCTTCCCTGCGTATCCATTCATACCACGTCAATATCTTCGCAGCTATCTCAACCAAAGAGCAATATTGAAGAGGGGCTGACAAATGGCATTGGAACGCCCAAACCTGACAGCACCAAACACCCCAACCACATAATTGAAGATTCCACTCACTAGCCTTGTAAACTCTGCGCATCAGCAGCGGCTCCATGAGCCCGCAACCCCCCTAACCTCCTACCTCCTGGCGCGGGCGGTGTGCGACGCGGAGCGACATGAATCCGATTTCTTTTGCAAAGCCACGGACACACAAGTCAAGGTCCCGTTCTCGATGTGTGTGGCTGCTTGCTTGTGTTCCGGCATGGTCTTTGGTGGGGCTTCGCTTACTAAGACTCAGCAACGCCAAGCTGGTTGGGTGGGGATAGCTCAAAGTAAGCAGGTTTTCACTAAAGTGGTCAATGACATTTTCCTGAAGGATTTGTGTGTTTGGTGTGTTTTGATGCAAATAGATTTATCTGAGAAGAATCATGGGTGTTCAAGTCAGCGTTGTGGCCGCGCTTTCAGCTGTGCAGATGGAAGAGTTCAAAAACCTCGAAGTGCTGCACTTGGCCTGGTCCTGATGTCATGTTTCGACGACCTACCAGGTCTTTGGACGAAGCAAGACGAATCGTAGGAAGTTGTTGCTGTTTACCACGTGGTGATTTGCAACGTAGTTATGTCAATTTGCCATGACGCTGTGTGATTGGCAATGCTCAAAGCACACAATAATTTGGTGATGTGGAACACGCTGACTAGTGCTTTGGTGATGCCGTATCAGCGTGTGATGGTTTCGCTTGTGATGTGTAGCATGTGCTATCTGAAGAGTGTTTGGGATGACTTCCATCTCATGAAGCTGTCCGATTCTCGATTGCTCCAGAGCTTTTTGGGGTTCAAGCTGCAGATGGTTGTGCCCTGGTGGTTGCTGGACCTCTTTCGAGAAGTCCGTTTCCTGTTCACTGCTCCTACCACTTGCCCTTGGGGTGCCATTGGACTTTTTCTGATCGTCTTGTGCTGTTGCTCTTGCCTGGCTGGAATCTGCATTGGGGCATTTGCATTTTCGGTTCAGTGTCGAAAGTTTGCATCTGGGTTGGTGAGGTTGGCATTTGTAGCTTTTTCACCAGTCACTGCAGATATCAGTGGCCCTCGAGATCGCTTGGCTGAGTACCGGAGATCCTGTTGATGCAAAGCAGGTCAACTCTCAGCCCAGAGGTGGAATCCATCACAGTGCAGTTGGCAGGGCTTGACATTACCATCAGTGTCCGGCCATCTCAGACTGCTTCAGGATACTCATCATCAGCAGTTGTCTCCGCAGTTGTTGAGGAACGTTCTGACTCACCAGATTTCTCGGATCCGAATCTCATCACCGTAGCCGTTGAGGAACGAGCTTTGGCGGCTGAGACAGCTGCTCAGTTAGCTGCTTTGCCGCTGCCCTTTCTGGCAGACCACGCGGCGTGCTATCTCTCCGGGGCTCGGAGCAGATGGCCAGCTCAGGCCTGAGTGGCGCCCTCTCGGAGAGGGCGATCCGAGACCTGGCATCCCAGGTCCCAGCCGGCCGCACTTTGCCGGCTGTGTTTTTACAAAGGGAAGAGTCAGACAGTTCTCCAGCAGTTTTGGTTCAATGTTTGGTGGTCTATGTTCGAACGGGTGGGTTCATGCTGGCATTACCGGCAGAGCCGGATGGAGTGATCAGAGAAACGATTGCAGGGCTACCTCAGGCTGCAACATCAGCCGCCGAGCCCATTTTCCATTCCGGAGAGGTTCCTTTCGAAACCACACGTGGCAGGCGCGATGGAAATTTGACCATCGAGCTGGTAGATTTGCCTTGGGAGTTCGCTTCGGCCTTTGTCACCATCGGCCGACTTTCTTCGACGCAGAAAAGCCAACTGGTAGGTTTCCTGTCGAGCACTGGCGTTTTGGGTCGACCCGTCAAAACATCAGTCATCGAGTTAGCCCAAGAGTGGTTAGATATCATGGAGCCCCTGACAGCTCAGGACTATTTCACAGGAGAAGAGGCAGGGTCGCAGTATGCTCCGAGCACACCAGAGCTCAGGCCGGCCGATCCCGGTCAAGCTGCATCGGAAGTGGATTTGCTGAAAGCTCGCATTGCAGAGCTCGAGAGTATGCAGTCCATTCAGGCTCTGCCTCAGGGCCCATCAGCTGCGCCGCCTCGAGCCAAGGCACCTCCGCTCCTTGGCGTCCCCGGGTCAAGCGCTCAGTTGTCTCAACAGGAGTGGGGCAAATTGCAGTTGCTGGCGGGTTCCCCGCCTCCCAGGGCTGGCGCAGCCGAGAAGCGCCGTCAGTTGACTGCGCAGCAAACTCCGGCTCAGCAGGATCTGGCTTTGGTGGATCTCCAGCGGGAGGCGGCCGAGGAGGAGCAAGATGCAGTGGATCCAGTGGACTTGGAAGCTTTGCTAGGGGCGACCTCAGATCTTCTCCAAAAGATGTTGATGGTCCAAATGCAACAAAATCAGGTGCTCTTACAGAAGCTGGTGGGAAGCAAGTCCTCAGACCCAGTTCTGGGTGCCCTTCAGGGAGGCGGCTTGGACAGCGGCTCAGGAGGAGGATCAAGCTCAGGAGTGAAGGGCTGCATGGCCCGAGAGGCCTTCCTACGTGCAGTAGCCGACCTTCCAAAAGTTGCCAACAGCACCAGAGCCAACGCCTTGAGGGAGTTGGGGATGGATCCGTCTCGCGAAGACGGATCTTTGATTCGTCGCTACATGGAACGCCGCATGCCCCTGGCAGAGCATCGTCTGCTAACATACTTCACAGCCATGCTAGCAGAAGCTTGGGCAGTGGGGTACAATTCAGGCAATGTGGAAATGTTGGGGATCCTGAGTCGCATGCTGTTTTTCACAGAGCAGTGCTCGATAGACCAAGGCCGCACCAGCATGGCGTGGTTGTTAGCGGGATGGCAGGAACCTCCATTTCATCTCCTGACCTCAGCCAAACGCCATCCGGGGTTGCAACCCTACGCACGCCTCTGCCATCCGGCTTGGGTGTCAGCCAACATAGCCTATGTGAAAGACATCGACTACTTGGAAGGACGCCTTCAGAGTTTGGGAACCTCAAAACCCAAAAAGACCCAAGACGATTCGGACTACCAGACCAAGCAGAATCCAAAACTGAAACCCAGGAAGCCGAAAGGGACCGGGAAGGGCGGAAGACAAGATGCCGCCTCGACCGATGCCGGAAGCACGACAGGTTAGATCACTGCCATGCTCATGTCGAGCAGGTTTCAGAGCTGACCGCACAGAGCTCTGATCGTCTGGCTAGTGAGAGTGCCTCGGCTTTGCCAAGTGGCTTTGTGCTAAGTTTCGATCCTGTTTCCGATGTCCCTGACCTTAATTCATCAGCAGTTTTTTCAGGTGTGCAATTAGCTCGTTGCATGATCAAGGGTTTCTTAGGGTCGCATAGTGCTTTAGGGCATTTTGTTCGAGCTAGTTTGAGACCTCATCCCAACGCTTGCAATGTGGAAAAGCCCAACCGGGCTTTGTGGCCTGTCCCCCCTTCCTAGGAGATGGACGGATGCATCCAAACTGAACCCGCGTAGGCGTAGGCGACGCCGATACCATGAGACTCGTCATCTGTTGTTGCAAATCACTCTCAGCACTATGAATTGGCAGGTGTTAGGATATAAGGCGAGTCCACCTAGTAGTGCCTGTGTCGGTGCTCCAATCTCCCCAAGTCAGCATTCCGTCATCGAAAGGGTGGAAGGATTGCTTGACTTTTTCCTCCACATGCCTTCATTTGAAGCTGTCGGGTTGGGGCGAGCTCATGGTAAGTTTTCAGAGTTAATTAAGCATATCCAGGAACTGCCTTGGTGTAAACTTAGGTTAGAGGACCTCTCGCAATTAGCTGCAAGTTTGAAGTCTAGTTTTGATCCGTACGGTAAGCATTTTGCTTTTCCAAAGTCTCAGACAGATGAAGCCGACCCCAAGTCGCATCACTGCGGCAATGCCTCGGGTGCTCGCTCCACGGTGGGCGCCATGCAGGTTCAATCCGACCGGGTGAAGTGGAAAAGTCCGCCTTCCTTCGATGCAGCCAGTTTCCTCGACGATCCCTTGGTCAGAGCTGCGTATATTGATCCCGAAACCTTGAGGAAAGACCCTTCTGAATGGCCGAAACCTCATCCCGCACAAGTTAGGTGTCATAGATCTGAGTTGTTGAAGCTTGCATCACGGTGGGATGAATTGGGAGCTTGCATGATCATTCCAAGTAGGACTAAAGATTTCCGAGAAGCAGTAGGTCTCTTTTGCGTTCCCAAAGATGAATCGCATGATCGCCTCATTGTGAACCCAGTCACCATAAACTCCAGAATGCATTCGGTCACTCGTTCAACGAAAGAACTCGCACCTGGCAGTATGTTAGGTTTGTTGCACTTAAGGGATGATGAAGTGTTTAGATATTCAGCTGACGATCTCACAGATTTTTATTACACTTTTTTCGTATCCCCTGAACGTGCCATGCGCAACGCCTTGCGCCTTGAGTTCGAGTCGCGTGAACTTGAGCATTTCAAATGTTTCAGAGATGAGTTTCATGGTGAGAAACTGTTGATTTGCCTAAAAACTCTCGCCATGGGGGATAACTTGGCTGTGGAAATTGCCCAGCAATCCCATGGTAATGTGTTGCGTTTCTTGTGTGGTGCAATGAGACCGAGCGAGACGCTCAGATATCGATGTCCTGTTCCCAGGTCCGATTTTGTGGAGCTACTCGCCATCGATGATCATGTTGGCCTCCAAAAACTCCCAAAAAGTAAGCTCCTCCAAAAACCAGCTCTTAGAGACACAGAGGTTTTCCAGAAAGCATCGGTTGCCTATAAGTCTGTGGGTCTCATTCAGCAAGAATCGAAACAACGCAGAGATGAGACCTCAGGTATTATCTTAGGCTCCGATTTCGATGGCATTCTTGGTAGGGTGATGGCCCCAAGGAACCGTGTAGCCATCCTTTGCATCATGACCCTAATGATTGCTCATAAAGGTCGCTGTACACCTAGATTGTTATCGTCCGTTGTCGGATGTTGGGTTCATGTCCTCCTTTTCCGGAGAGTGCTGTTTGCTGTGATGTCTAGTATTTTTGAAGAGGGCCGCGGTCTTGGTCAGGATGAGGTGTTTTGTTTATCCCGAAAATCGATCTGCGAGTTGCAATTGCTTGCATGTTTGGGACCCCTTGCCCAGAGTGACCTCAGGGCCAAGTACTCAGATCGCCTCTACTCCACAGATGCATCTCCAGCCGGTGGGGCCGTTGTCTGTGCTCAAGTAGGCGAGAATGTGACTCAAGAAGTGTGGCGCCATACGGAACAGCGGGGGTTTTATACAAAACTCTTAAGCCCTGCGTCGGCAATCCTCATCGAGCATGGCCTTGACTCCGAGGTAGCTGAGCAAATGGTTAATCCTCCTCCTCAATTTTCTTCTCCTCCTGAAGCCACCTCCTTCAATGTACCACCTCCCATGACTGAGGGTATTTTGTTTGATGTGTGCGAAATTTTCAGAGGTAGCGGAAACTGGTCAGCAGCACATTCAGCCCAAGGGCTCAGCACTCACGGTGGTTTTGACTTAGATGGCCGGCGCTTGCGGTGCCATGACTTGCAAGAGGCATCGACAATGCATGAACTGATTAGTTTGGCTCTGCGTCGCGTGGTCCGAGATTTTCATGCTGGAGTGCCTTGTTTAAGCTTTGGTACATTTCGCAGGCCTCAAGTTAGATCCAATCGATTTCCCCATGGTTTCGACCCCAGTGATCTTTTTACAGCTTATCATAACAGACTAGCCCAACGAGCTTGTTTCGTGCTGACCGTTGCTTTGATGGTTGGGTCCTACATTAGCATTGAGCAGCCGCGTAACAGTAGACTGTTCAGGCTACATTGCTACAAGGTTCTGATCCGACTTGGGTGTGTGATTTCCCATTACGCATTTTGTAGCTACGGCAGTGCATTTCATAAGCCGTCAAAGTGGCTTCATAACAAGCCGTGGTTGGTGAAGCTTGAGTCAAAATGCTCGTGTGATCATAGGGGTAACCATTTCAAAATCGAAGGTGCTTTCACACCAGACTCCATTCGCAGATTCGACCTCCAATGCTCCCCTGACGCAAAATCGGTCTTCGGCCGTTTGCCTCGCCCAGGTGAAGCAGTGGCAGCTTTTTCAGCTGCGTATCCCATACCTTTGGTGCGGAAGATGGCTCTTGGGTTGGCGGCTGCAGCAAACGGTCATGTGGACCGTATCGCCGACACTGCGCGCGCACGAACCCTTGCTGAAGTCGAGGTTCTGGATGATAGTCTTGATTTTAGTTTAGTCCCAGAAGAGCCGTATCCCCCACGTAACTGGTTTGAGGATCCCGAATGGATTGGTGAAATTGTCAATGGCTGTTGCTTCAAAGAACTGTTTAGGTATAAGTTCAAAACCCCGGGTCATATCAATGTTAACGAAACACGTACGTATAAGTCTCTGATCAAGTCTCTTGCCAAAGCTGAACCAGACTCTCGTGTGGTGGCCTTGCTGGATAGTCGAGTCACCATTGGGGCATCAGCGAAAGGTAGGTCTAGTAGCTATGCCATTTGCAGAGTTCTGCAAGGCACTATTCCCTATGTCATCGGCAGTGGTTTGTACTTAGGATCTCTGCACTGCTATTCAGCTGATAATCGCGCAGATGATCCTTCTAGGGACCGTCCGGTCCGCCCGCCATCTAAGGAGTTGCCCAGATGGTTCGTTGATTTGCAAGCAGGTTCCACTTGGCGTTTTGACCAAGTCGTGGCATCCAGTGGCATTCCCAAGTTGGCCGCCAGGTGGCTCAGATTCCTTTTGTTGCTTGGTGGCGACATTGAGCGGAACCCGGGACCTGAAAAGGTTTTTCCAACTTCAAAGCGTGTAGGTCGTGGAAAACTTGACCTTCAGAAAGGTTTTGCTCCCGCAACTTCAAAGCGGATGTCCAAGTGCATTGACGGCTTTCGCGCTTGGCTGGAAAGTGAAGTGGGGATTTCATGGGACGCTTTGGTCTCTGATCCGCAGGCCACTTGTCTGGCCTTGAGAGGCTACGGACTTTATTGCTTTGAAACTGGATTGCCGCGTTACCTTTTTGTGTATGCGATCACAGGGATGCAGGATGTATATCCGTTGACACGCAACTTTATGACATTGGCATGGCAAGTCGACAAGAAATGGCAGGTGTACGAGCCGGGCGTATGCCGGTCGGTGCTGCCACCCATGATCATACGTGCTGCAGTTTGCCTCGCTTGCCTATGGTCTTGGCCAGCATGGGCTGCTATCGTCTTGCTGGGTTTTGGTGCCATGCTGCATCCATCAGAGATGATGGCTTTGGAACGTCGAGATTTGATTTTTCCTTCGGACGTGTTTCATGACACTCAGAGTTTGTTTGTGCGCATCAGAGATCCGAAGACCGCGCGTTTTGCGCGAAGGCAGCACGGCCGTATAGATGATGAATCTATCATTTGGGTGGCGCAACAAGTTTTTGGTTCTTTGTCTCCGGATACTAAGCTTTTTCCTGGCTCAATCAATGTTTTTCGAAAGCAGTGGAATTGCATTATGCAGCAACTGGGAGTACCACACTCACAAGCAGGCAGGGGTGCGACCCCCGGAGTCTTACGTGGCTCCGGCGCCACGTATCTGTACTGTGCTTCAGAAGACTTGAGCTGGGTCGCTTGGCGCGGCAGATGGGCGCGAGTTAGAACTCTAGAGTACTACCTACAAGAAGTGGGCGCCTTTGTGATGGTACATAGCTTGAAACCAAGTTCAAAAGACAAGATCCAGAAGTTGTCTGCTGCCGCCTGGAGTGTGCTGTGTCATGTCTTAGCCTCTACGGGGTAGCAAATAAGAAGCGGAAAAGAATTTTGGA